TATTATTATTATTATTATTATTATTATTATTATTAATGAGGAAAGCAGGCGTTCAAGGACGGGAAGATTTCTGTGCAAGCCAGGAGGTTCCGGGGGCCTTGGTGCAGGGCCTCTGGAATTTGGGGTCAGTTGGCGCCATCAGTGCTGGCCAAGTCTCCACTTCCATTTGCCCGAATTCTCTGTTGAATTGGATCGCCTCGAACAGTGTGGCAATCCTGGGCTGTGGAGGCCACAAGTCTTGTGTAACCTTCCCTGGCCTCCTCACTCGGGGGAGTCACAACAGTTTGGGGTGGGAGTCACACAGATTATCCGGGACAGAGAGCTTCCCCGGAAAGACTTCGTGAAGTCTCAGGGTTCACATTTGGGTGGATAGTCTGATGTCTTGGAATGCGAGTGGCAGGAAGGGACATTCATAGAGCAACTGGATGTGAAATGAAAATGTGAAGAGCAGGCCATGCTTGGAGACATCAAGCCCAGCCTCCTGCCATGGCGGAGGGGCTGTGCGCTCACGTAAGGTTTTGTGAGCTCACTTTTATGTGAAGATGTCGAAGATGACCATTCACCCTGAGGCGGCAGATCTGGCACCAGAAATGCGTTTCCCATTATTTACCATCATTAGAGTGAGGGTAGGACTTTTCCCGTGCCAAGGGACACCGAGTCTGTTCTTGTCGGGATGGAGTGAGTGGTGTGCCGGATTACTGCCTCCCCGAAGCTCGGACGCTCAGCCTGAGAGGGAGTCTGCTCGCGGAGAGAGGAGCTCTACCTGGCCTTGGGAGAGACTTGCTGAATTAGCTCCGGAGGAACTGCTCACAAAGCCGGGTCTTGGCGCGGGCGAGGCGGCTTCCTTGGCCCAGCATACCTGAGGGTGAGGTGAGAGCTGACTCGGGATGGGTTCTCCCAGCTCAGTTTTTCAGGGTGTGTGTGTGTGTGTGTGTGTGTGTGTGTGTGTGTGGGCAGTGGTGGTTAGAGATCTGTTGGACTTCCGGTTGGGTTAGAAGAAGGAAAGGCTGTCAAGCCACTGCAGGAAGCTGGCTGATGGAGATGGCTTGGAGGTTGAGTATTGACTCAATTTTCTCCGCTGAGGATTTTCATTTTAGGGTGTAGTGCCAGTGTTACAATGCATCGTAGGTTCAACTTTCTTTTCCTTGTGTTCCCTGACTTTTTTGGGGGGGATTTGTGTAATGATTGTATGTTGTTGGCTAATTGTCACAGCCAGTTGGTAATTTTAAGATTTATAGTTAGGACTACACAGCTCGGAAGACTTAAATTTGATTTTATTCTGCTTAGTGTGATTTCTGTTATCTTTTTCTTTGTTGCTGTG